TCACTCACCACCCTTGCAGAGTGCCAGGCACAGGGATGCTGGCATGGGGGGTACCTGGTCACCGGGCATCCCAGCCGCCTCAGGGAGTGGGACACCTGCAGCACCTTGCTCTGTCCCCACGGCAGCCCATGCACAGCACCCATCTCCCCAGGGAGGGCTCGCACCCGCACTGTCCCCAGCCTGGGTTCAGGGACGCGTGTATCCGCTATGCTCGCACACTGGGGCTTCGCTCGCTGCCAGCTCCCCCCGCCGCACACCAGAGTCCTCAAGCTGTGCTGCCAGTGCTCACCCACACACACACACTGTCCCCGGTCCCTGCTCGCCAGCCTCACATGCTCGTATTATCCTCGGTGCGGTGCCAAGGCTCTCTCCGTCCCCGGCCTCCCTGTTCCCCACAGCTCCTTTTCACCGCCCAGCTGCACGCTGGGGTGGCAGCACACGTGGCCTCTGAACAGGAGGGACCTTTGCAACAGTGCCATTTCCCAACCTGCTGGCACCAGGAATGTGTCTCCAATGCCCCAGCCCCCTGCCTAGAGCTCAGCCACACATGGGGCACCCCCAGCACCCCTTGGGGCTGCTGGGTCCCTGCCAGAGGGACAGGCACGTGCCCACAGCAGCAGGCGGTAACAGCATCCTGCCGGGGCCTGGGTCCGGGCAGGGTGCAGTGATGCCAGGCTGACTTCAACAGGTGCTGGTCACAGATGCCTCCTTCCCATCTGCCCCGCTTCCTGACACCACATCTCCACCATGGGCTGTGGTCCCCTGAGACCATCTCTGTGGGATGGCAGCTCCCACAGGGCCCCACAGCTCAGCCCTGCCTGGGACACTGGTGGCCAGGGATGCCCTGTTCCCTGGGCAGAGATGCTCCTGCCTCCTCAGCTTTTCCTCAGCCCCCTCTCTCCGCTCGCCTCAGCCCCCTTGTCCCCCCTGCCATCACGATGCCATAGCGATTTCATGTGGCTGCCAGCAGACCTCTCCAGGCACCTCCCGGTTTAAAACAACTCGGCAATAAAAGCCAGCCAATTGCCGTGCCCATGGCAGCCCCCATACAGTCTCGCTGACAGCAATTTGGGCCCCAGAAGGGGGGGTCACAGAGGGGCAGGGCTGGGTCTCCACAGGCTCTCTCTGCCCCCAAGCATCCTGACCCCCTCCTCAGGGTTGCCAAGAACATGGGAATGCCAGGAGGCCTCCGGCTCAGCGCCGTGGGGCTCCCGGGACAGCAGGCAGGGTGTTATCCATCAGCAGAAAAGCGATGGGGAAAAACCTTGTCCCCTCCCACTGGGCCATTGCTAATAACGAAGTGCGTGGGGGGGGGAATGGAGCTGAGCGACCTCCAAGTCACATTCAGGGCTATAAAAGGAAGCCGGGTCCTCAGCACGGTGCCTCTTCCACAAAAGCAACCAGAGGATGAGGGGGCTGCGAGCGGAGCTGAGAAATAGCTGCCAGGCAGCGGGAGAGGAGCCTTTAGCGCTGAGCGAAGTGCGAGGTGCACATATGCTCTCTGTTTCTGCACATCTACATCTTCATGAAACCTGCCCGAAACTGTGTCATCTATTTTGAACAGTGCAGAGAAAGACTTTGATCTGCCTCCACCAGCCCTGGCTGTGGTTCAGGCACCAGTAAGTGGCTGGTGTACAGGTGGCCCATCCCAAAACCTGTGTGATGGAGAGACAGGAGCAGATCTGTGAGGGCCACATCTCCCTCCAGCAGAGCACAGCGAGGGATATGATGAGTCCTGGGAAGACCTCTGTAGCAGTGTACCGTGTGTCCAAGCCCACCTGCAATCCTCATGCCAGATACCAGCACTGCTTCAGGGCCACCGGGCTGGAGAGGCCATTGGGAGCTCTGGGGCAGCACGTCCCCACATCACCCTGGGGCAATGACAGGCCCCAAGCTTGGGAGGAGGACGCGCTGTGCCTGCCTGCGCCTTGGATGATGCAAAGCAGCGTGGCCTGATCCTCACCACCCTGCACCACCACCTTGACCACTTCCTCGGGAGGCAGCCCCCCTCACACCCCAGTCCAGAGGGCTCCAGACTCCTCACCTGGCTCCAGAGCAGCACAGATGGGATCACATCTCTACAGACACCCCATCCTGCTGCCTCTACATGGAAAATGACTCCCACACTTGGCTCTGATGCTTTTGCCTCACTTGCTTCATCCCAGCACTCCTCCCCAGAGGTGCCACATTCCCAGGGCTGCTCATCTTCCCGGGATGGTGACAGCTTCTCTCTGGGGTATCTGCAGGCACCCAGCAAAGCAACCGCTCAAGGAAGTGCCAGGCAGGGGACAAGGACAGAAGGGGGCCAGGAAACACAGAGGGCCTGGTGCCAGCACTGGTGACAGGGCTGAACAGAGGGGTAACCAGCTGCTCGGCTGGGACTGCCCAGCTTGAGGAAGTGGCAGCACCCCAAGACCCCAGAGCCAGCGCACTGCAGTTCCACACACGGCACCATCTGTCAGCCAGTCCAAGCACCCTCCGCTCTAGAGCGGCACAGCACCATTTCACCCAGCAGCCCAAGCAGGCAGCCAGGCCAGGCTGGGGATGGAGGAGAGGAGCCCAGCACTGCCAGGGGTCTCCCTTGAGAGTCATTGGGCATCTCTGCCACCCCTCAGCAGATCAGGGTGAGCAGCAGCATCCTAGAGGTCACAGTGCCTGTTTGCTCCCAGCATGAGCAGGTAGACCAGGCACTGCTCCACAGCCACTGCTCCTGCCTGGGGCTCAAGAGCCAGGTCCTGAGCAGGGCGTGCAGCCCTCCTGCCCCTCCTGCCCAGCTCTACACATCCCACTTCCCAGCCAAAGGTGTTGATGTGGCTGATTTCTACCAAATCCAAACAACTGGCAGCTCCCTGGACCCTTCCTCACCCACTGGGACCTTCCTGGTGCAGAGCACCCAGGCATGTTCCCAGCAGCCAGAGGAGGATATTCACCTCCCCCTCCTCGTGTGTCCTGTCCCAGGGCACTCTCCCAGCACACAGCATGTGCTGCCACCTCCCACCGACCACTCTGACAGCAGCAGATCCCCAGGTCACCACACAGGTTGTGCTCCTGGGGACCTGGGGTTTGCAGGGTGCACCTACCTGGTCACCTCCTGCTCACCAGCACCCCAAGGCTGACACAGCCTTTTGCCCGGGCACTTTCCCCAAGACGTTCACTCACTCAGTCAAGCCACATCCACAGTCAGTGGCTCAAGCCCACAGCAGAGCCCTCGCAGGCCCTGTGATGTCCTCAGCAAGTAAACACCTCCCTGCCCTGCTGGAAGGGGCAGCTCAACCCCTTGTCCTGTGACAACATGGGAGCATCCAGCCTGGCAGCGAGGCAGGGATGAGTGGCTAGAGTGAGTGGGTGAGATCTGCAGCCTGGGCCCCACACAGCTGTGCCTCTCCCTCATCAACTCAAACCCCCCTGTTCCCACCTCAAGGGGAGCGTCCCAGCCCCTGCCTCACAAGACAAGTTCTTGTTCCCCTCGACTCAGGCAGGTTAGGGGTGACCATCCTAATTCCTGCACTTCACCCACACTACCACCCCAGCTCCACCAGCACTGCAGTAAGCCTGGCAGCCAGTCCTTCCCCAGGACACCTCATACAGGCACAGAGCAGATCCCAGTTCCCCTCAGCGCTTCTGGGGGTACATCAGGTTCTCCAACCCCCACAAAAAGGCTGAGGCAGCACATGCCACAGAAAGCAGGCAAAGAAGGGAAGAGCTCAACCAGAATTCCTTACTCTGCAGAGAGAAGTCCTGAGCTACCTGGACTGCTGACATCCAGCAGAGCTGCAGATGCTGGGGCTCAGGGCACGGCTCAACCACAACCACTTCCTGCAATGAAGCGACCACAGCACAGCCCTGGGGGTACCTGGCAGCTGAAACACAGGCACCATCTCACTTGGGGCCTGTTTCAGACTGGCTCAGCCTCCAAACCAGAGATCATCTGTCCAGGGCCAAACCAGAAAAGGGTGTGCTGAAGCCATTAAGGTGAAGGGAGCAGGAAAAAGGAGCGGCATAGCCCAGGGCATTCACAACTCACAGGTGCCCTGATAGTTCTTTATTGTCCTCTGAGCTGGGTGGCAGCTCAGCCATGTCCAGCGCAGGAAAACTGTCTCCTGCACCTGCCCTGGGAGGCAGCACCAGCGTCCGCAGAAACACCACTGAGTCCTGCTCTCAGCCTCTTCTGTTGGTCCCAGCAAAGCCTGGTTTTTGGCCTTTTCTGTTCTTCTGCATCTCGCCAGCACCGCCATGCTTGTCTGCTGCAAAAATCCTGCCTGCTGCAAGCAGCTTGGCGGCAGCCCCGGCGTCTCGGTACAAGCACAGCACACACGACTGGCACACAGGCTCAGCCAAACGTGCACCAAGGGGTCTCGCTTGTGTCACAGTCCAGCAAGATATTAAGGACAGTGCAAGGGGCTCCTGCTACACTCAGAGCTGTCCGTGACTCAATTCGGTACTTCACGTTGTTCAGACCTCCCTCCCGATCCACCTTAAACTGTTCCTGAGGAAGAGAAAGACCATTCAGCTTCCAGTGGAGGAAGAAGCACCCAGTACCTGGGGAGGGAGCACCGGGGTGACGGAGGAGGACAGGAGCAAGGAGAGCTCAGAGCACGTGGTGATCACAATCCAAATCTCCTGTGGTTCCCCTCAATCAGACAGAGATCTCACCTGCTTCTGTGCAGCAATGCGCTTCTGGTCTCTCTTCCTCCAAGCTGGGTCATGCAGGTGCTGGAAAGTCTCGTATCCAGTTGTGATTCCAGAGGGACGGCGAACCTGAAGGAGAGCAAAGCTTCTGTAAAACTACTGGAAAATCTGCTGTGCCTGCTACTGAAATGAGGGGCGCAGAAGGGCTGCCTTCCCCAGGCCCTGACCTGGGCAGCTACAGCCAAGGGCCAGGTAGGGAGACAAGAAGGGTAATTTCAATCTAGGAGGCCATGGAGCACCCCTTACCTGGAGACCAGCTCCTTTGATACGTCGATAAAACTCATCGTCCTCCCGTCCCCAGCCCCAGAAGCGGTTGGACATGCCATTGCACTGAAATGAGAGGGCCATCGTACCAGCCAAGGTCTGGTCCAGCACAACTCCACACACCACAGAGAAGCAGACACCAGCAAAAGCCCTGAGCACCAGCGCAGCCTTCCCTCTCCTGCCCCCCACCAGTTCAGGCAACAAGCTCTGTCCCTGAACCATTTTGACTCCATTCCCTCTTGCCAAGTGTGGAGCACAAAATGTACGACTGTTCACCAAGACCATGTCATAGCCTCTGCCCTAAACTGCCCAGGACATTTGACCCGCATGCTCACCATCTCATAGTGCTGCTTGGTGAGCAGCAGGATGCCGCCCACGTAGGTCTTATAGTGATAGAGCGGGTGCAGCTCTGGAGATGCCACGTGGAAGGGCCCTGCCTCTGGGAAGCTGTAGTCCAACTGTTCATTGAGGGGCAGGAGATCAACATCGTGCATGGCGATGTAGTCAGTGTCGTTGCCGCTCTCCAGGAAGCCCACGTTGATCAGGGATGCCCTGTTAAACCTGCCGCAGGAACCGGGACTCTCAGCACCGTGCACAGCAGCCACCATCCCTTCACATCCCTCTCCTGTGCTCCTCAATGTTCAAATGGTCTCCAGATGGGGACACACACAGACACGGCGTTCCCTGCCCTCACACCCCCGGCTGCCGCAGCTGTCCATCCTGGAACAGCACCCTGCTTCTCCCTGCACAGGCTGCACACAGAGCCCAATGGTGACATGCAGGGGTTTGGCCACTGTGGACCCCAAGGGGCTACAACAAGCCCTGAAGCCAGCTATGGAGCTGCACAGCACCCGCCGGGGCTGCAGGCAGGTGCCAGACGGCGAGCAGGGGGCAAGTGAGGGCACTTCCAAACACCCCACGGTATTGCTTTGAATTTCAGCATCCCCAGATGTTTGTGGCCACAGCCCTGCAGCACTGTGGAGAAAGCTGACATATCTGGGGGTAAATAATTCTCTTATTGCTTAGGAAGAGGGAAGGACAATACCACTTTGTCCTTCTCTAAGCTCTAGAGTGAACATATCTGGGGAGAGCATCGCGCCCCAGCCCTGGATCCACGTTGTCCAGGCCTGATGCTTCTCTGTGCTGCCGGAGCCACGTGGGAGACCCTCCCGGTGCTCACAGTGGGGACGGAGTTTTGGAGAAGGGTCCCCTTGCTGCCTTTGCTCGCTACCTGAAATGATCCACCTGGTTGAGGACGAAGATGTGATGGCGGATCCTCTTCTTGCTCAGG